AAAGCATATATCATCGAATTCAAGCATATCCTCTGTCGACAAAGAGACCCTCGATCAAATTTTCATAAACGGATCGATATCCATGTATCTTTCTCTCATTTCTCGAAACTTCAGAAGAATTCAAATGCACTTGCCTTAACACTAAAGTCGATTATATAAAAAAACGCGTCATATCTATTTTACAAACTATTATGTCAAATTCTCGTGTTAAATTATCCAAAAAAATTCGGAATAGCTTGGCGCTTGCGTTTTTGCGTGTAGCGGTTCAATTACCGGACCACGACGGATCGAATATGTTGAATTAAATGAACCTTTTTTCTGTCCTGTGTCGTGCACGAGACACGCGTGACATGAGCGTGAACAGCTTTTCTCTCGTTCATTTGAAAGGACGAATCGCTCGTTGGCAAGAACGGGAAGGAGATTTACAGTTATGTATGTCTTATGCGTATTCCGCGTAGCACACTTATTTCATCTGCTTTGAAGTCTTCTGGTGAATACAGCATTGATATGACGAATAATGAATGGTTTTGAATAATATTTTCAATCATCTTCTTTCGAGATGACCTGACTGAAAGCGTTATATTAAGTCTTCGAGTGTAAAAAGCTCCGCTTCCATAAATGCGATATATTAAATTCTATTTTACGCTAATTAATTTTGTTATGAAATTTATTTTCAACATTATTAATTAATTCCAAAAAATCACAGATAATTAATCGACATAATTAAAAATTTAATAATAATGAAGAGCAAACTTTTTATCGATATTTCAATTTTCATTACAATCATTTTTTATTCAAAGCATATATCATCGAATTCAAGCATATCCTCTGTCGACAAAGAGACCCTCGATCAAATTTTCATAAACGGATCGATATCCATGTATCTTTCTCTCATTTCTCGAAACTTCAGAAGAATTCAAATGCACTTGCCCGTATCTCGTCCACGAGCATGTCCTTGGCTTTTCTCGGTCGAAGTCCTCCCAAATGCTAAGCTTTCGAAATTCGCAGGATCGTAAAAATCGCTCAAAGTTGCCGTATGTAGCGCGTGTGAGAAAATACGATCGCGCATTTATCTTATCAATTTTCGGATCAGCGTTTAATGAGCGAGCAGGTCGATCGTACTGTAATAAATCGCGGCACATATATAGAGTCGCGATCGCATCGAATGATAGCGCGTGCGATGTGAGTGAAGGGTACTTTATTCGCTTCGTCTCGCGAGCGGGGCGGGTGAAAGGCGATAACTCGCGATATTCGCGAAATATCATATATTTTCCGTTTCGCTAGCGAACGGAGTTTTCCGCGAAACGGTCCGCGGATTTTTCGCGGCAATGCCGTCACGTGGCGGCGAAGATTACGGCGTTGTGTCGCGATGATTGCGCGAGCTGCTCGACGAATGGGGAACGAGGTCGTAGGAATTATGTTAATTATTGCGTAGCCGAATTGTTCCTCTCCCGGTTATATATTATGTAACGGACACGCGACAGATCGCGCGAGATTCCGTCTTTCATTACGATAACCGGTAAACACGGAGATAATTCCTTCTCTATAGTACAATATCAAGTTCCATTTAACGTATTATCAGCAAACTAAATTATTAGACAATTAATATTCTTTTTGTTACATGATTTCCTGTCATAATTAATTTTATAGAATTTTTAAATTACTTGATCATATTTCTGATCTTATCGTCTAACATTTTCACACGAGATCATTATAATCTATCAAAGATTAGCGTATTTCCTGAAATACTTTGTGTATGTAACGCATAATGTTCGAGAACTTGGATACACGAACGTTATTCTATACATCGGTAGATGTTATCATGTTAATATTCCGTCGTATAATATAAGCATTACTCGTTTTTTACGACACGATAGACACGCACGTACGTCGATGCGCGATCGAAAAGTAGAAAAAAAATGAATGAAGATGATATTTCAAAGAGGACGTTAATAGTTCGCCTCACGCGTCGCGAGATCGTGGGAAGCGAGATGACAGCGATATAATAATGATGATGAGACGAGTACAACAATGTTGACAATCGTTTCACCGTTATCTCGCGTTTGTAACATGTATGACAAATAGATAATATATTTATCAAAAGACCATAAGAGTGCATCAATTATAATGTCATGTAATATTTTAATAGATTTAATATCACAATTTATGTGCTTTTAATTAAATTTATTATTTCTTTTTATTATTTTATTTTATATTTTAAATTAATTTCACCCGCGAATTGATTCTATCTTTAATACTTATATATCTTTGTATGTATTGTCATGAAAAATTTTTTTCAATTAATTACTGACGAATTATTAAGAGAGTCAATAGGAAGTGACAAGACAAAACACACGCACAATATTCATCTTGATTTGCGACGCAGAAAGAATGGTTCATTCTTAATAATTACGTTCTTTCAAGGGCCTTGGAAGTGACGGCTGTTGAGAAATCGACCGTAGAGGTAATCTTTAGACCGCAGATGTCGAGAAATCGACGATAGAGGCGGTTTCTCAAGTGTGTGCAAGTGTTGAAAGATCGGTAGATCATTGTTTTCTCACGGCCAGTTGTACCAACATCGTTTAGCGTTCTGGCAATTTAATTTTCATTCTCTGCTTATATAATTATGCAACAACGTTATAATCCTGCATTAATTATTCCACTGTCAAAAGCAGCTTGAAAGAAGTTTAATTCACTAAAATACCACGCATCGATATAATTATGCAAATCTCAACCGGGGGCATCCGAAAAAAATTCGTTCTATTATTTTATTACTCAATTATTATTTATTATCGTTATAAAACGATTGTTATATATCGTGTGAAAAGTTGAATCCACCGTAACGATACTGGTTTTCCAACTCGCAAGATATTATTCCTCTCCGTATAGGACGCCCACTCCTTTACAGTATTTATACGGTCGCTTCTAACAAAGATAGGCGGATGATTCTAACGCATGAAACACGCGGAGGCGAGATAATGCTGTGCGTGCCTATCTGGACCCCCTTGTGTGTATGGAGATGCAAGGTCCTCGGTCCTTTATCTCGTCGCTTTTATCATCGTCCGGGAAACTGAGAAACGCTCCTATCTACCTCACCAGAACGAGTTCGAGCTATCATTTAAAAAAAAAAAAAAAAAAAGGAAGGAACGGAGGAAAATTTCGAACGTACCTCGCGATTCACGCGAAGCGTGACACATTCCTTGATATGTAATGAAACATAAAATTACAGATAAAATAACATTGTAAGGAGACACGAGAAATTCTAGCTAAACATTTACTTATATATGATGATCCTACTATCATGACGTCAAAATTTATTAATGCGACTATTAATTTTCTAATAATAAAAAGTTAATTTTGTCCCGTGATATTTCAGAGAACTCTCGATATATGTACAATTATTTTTTATTTTCAATATTATTATTAAAAATTTATAATGTTTTTAGTTTGTATTTCAGTGTCGGTCTTTTATATCTATCTTGTGTGTTATTATGTTATATTCAAAATATCTTATCTTTTTTTTGGTATCTGTGATATGTCCATTCACGTGAGGGCGGTTCGATCTATCGAATGCGTGTATGTCGTTGACCGTTTTTTTTCTTTTTTTTTTTTCATGTCAATCGCGTGAGCACGAGCCGCTTCTTCGCTCGAGCGGAACACGAGTAGCCGTGATTCGAGAAAGGGCCGGGAAAACCATTGACGCTTTCTCTTCTACGTCAAAGTTGGAATCGGGATGCCTACCGTTTAGGAACGACCTTCATATCTGCCGATTCCCAGAAAGGATCCCTCCATTTTCCCTTCCCCAAAACAAAGGCATCTGAGTCATTCTGGCCTGTCCTGCATTCTTGGTCAAACCGTCGTTTTCGGTGTCGAGGAAAAACGTAAAAAATTGTCCTAGCTTGCGAAGAGATAAATATTTCTATATGATGTTAATAAATAGTTTCATAAAATTTTATATATATATATATATATTATACCTAATAATTTTTATTACATCTAAATAGCGTGTAAAATATAATTGAAATCATTGGAACTTAAAAATTTATAGAAAAGTAAAAAATATATTCAATGTCGTAAAAAAGGAAACGATAGAGAAATATATAAAAATATATATTTTATTAAAGAACGCGTGTGTTTTATTAAAGAAATATATTTTTTAACACATGCAATTATATTATATCGGTTAATGTGAAAAACGGAGAAATCGTAACGTTTTGCCGTTGATTAAACACGAGTCAATGAAACAATGTATTTGACGCAAAAGTTTGTATCTAGTAACTCAGTGTACTTCATTACGAAGGTAGCAGGAATTTGTGGAGTGAAAGAGGGAATTACTCATTCGAGACTTGTGCGAGCGGTCGGCTGGCTTGAACGACTGTTTCAACCTTTTCTAGCCTAAGCCAACTGCTTTGCCAATTGAGGTCGATTAAGCGCGGTTCCCGGAGAAGAACACGTTTCTCTCTCTCTAATTCAAGCTATAGCGATCGCGTTTGTAGAAACATTTCATAGAAGAGCGATACCACGCCGTACATTCAGACAGACGCGAATTGATCGGTACTTCTACTCGCAATTTTTTTTTTTTTTCAAGAACTCGACATAATTTCAACAAATACAAATTCCGATTAGTGGATTTTATACTCTCGTATCAATGGTCTGGCGTTTCGATCGTCGCGAATAAACACGAGGGCCGCGTTCGCGTGATCTTGGGGAATTCGATTGATCTTCGGTCTGCGAAATTAGCGGCGCGGACTTTGACAGCGACAAGATCGCGTGTTGCGTCATTGCTTTATTCATCTACCTCTCGATCGGAGGTCGAAAATTCGCGCTCCTTCATCAACGATCACGCGACCGATACACGTTTTCGTCCCACGCGATCCCGGAAATCTCACGTGTGAGGAGAAGACCACGTTTCTTAAATTTAACTCTCCTCCTTTCGATTTAATTCTCTTAAATATCGATCGCGCGATCGACAAGAACCACCTGTCGCTCTTTGACAATACCTTCTGCTCTCGCGCTGCTGGCGCACAATGCCGATTTCCTGCCCTTCGAAGGGAGAAGTCTCGAGAAGCTCGTCGCTGTTGACTGCTGCAACTACCACCACCGCACTGTGTGTGTCTCGGGTCTCTCGGCTCGATTCGGGCCCGTGTCCGGCGCCGGAGGTCCGGAGACTGCGCGTAGAAACCGACGCGCCGATTTGGTCAAAGAGATCGGCGAGATCGCCTCCTCTTCTCGCGTGCTCGCAGAAGAGTGAGATCGCTCCCGATCACGAGCGATCGCTTCCTTTGTTTCCTGCTCGTTTCTCTTTTTTTTTTTTTTTTTTTTTTTTTTTTTTTTTTTTGTTTTTCCTCTTCAAGGACGAAGCGCGCGCGAAAGAGAGACGCGCACTGGAATTTGGACGGGAAAGAGAGAGAGAGACACACACACACACACACACACGTGACGTACAAACCGAAGCGAATCCGACGACGCGTCTCTCTTTCTCTCTCTCTCTCTCTTTCCTTTCTCTCGTCTCTGTGACGTGAAACGCAACGAACCTCGACGGTATACGAAATACGTAGAGCACCGACTGGGCCCGGCGAGCGACTGACTCGAGCGGCGAGGGACTCGCTCGGGGCCCCACCATTCTTGCCCGTCCACGAGTCTGGCGGTGAGGTACGGAGTGGTGGAAGAGGAGGTTGCCAGGTGCGTAGGGCGACCGCTCGCGAATTTCCGCGTCCGAGTGTCTTTCGCGGAACAATTTCGCGAATGACACGAGTTGCATCGATCTTGTCGCGACTGAAAGATGTACTTTGTTTGATTAATAAAGATTGATAACGTGTAATAGTTCGATACATATCTGAGCGAATAAACGCAATTTTTCTGAAACCACGAAGATGTTAACATATTTCTTATATTTTTATTGGTCGAAATTATGACGGTAATGCATAACAGCAGCTGGATGTATATATTATTGAAACGAATTTGGGAGCGCTAGAATTTGCATGCATTATGCAGGTAGAGCAGTCACGAATGATATACGTTAACATAAATCGTGGAAAATGCAACTGCGAGAAGATGCGCCCGCTCGATAATCACCTTCCTACAGCTTCGAAATAATCCTGCTGCGCTTTCTACCTTCTCTCTCTCTCTCTCTCTCTCTGGCTACTGAAAAACTCAACGAGGCGCGAATTAGCTCGTCAACGTTAGTTTTTCTGCGTTGCTTTCATCTGTTCAAAAGGAAGTGAAAAAATATATCAGAAGAGAATATACTTACATAATTAAAATTTAAAAATCACATATTATTTGTCCTTTGCTATTTATCATATAATAATTAAAATATATTATCTCATTATCATTGTAATTATACAGAGTGTGTCATCCATCCCTTTTTTTATTTTTACAATGATTTTTCGATTCTTGCGAGATCTATCTCGATGAAGATCTTTCCTCTTCGAATTTTCGGGGAGCAAATCGCCGGAATCTCGACAGAAAGTCACGCGGAGCCCAGCGAGCGTGCCAATAAAAAGATACCGTTTTCGCGACGAGCGGTCGCGAAGAGTTCAAGGACCAAGGGCCCGGTCTTCGCATCGGGCCCGCGACTCCCCGGGCCCGGGATATACGCATCGTGTGAACTCACCTTTGCTTTCTCGACCTGTATCGTGTGTCCGCGAGAAGCGACCGCAGCATCTCGACTGGAGCGAGATGAGCAAATACCCTGTCTCTTCTCCCTTCATTATTTCTCTCTCTCTCTCTCTCTCTTTCCTTTTCCCTGTCTCGCTTTCAGTTCATTCTTTCCTCCTCTGTCTCCGTCACTCTAGATGGGGGCCCAAGGTTTTCAGCTCGGTGAATACGCAGTAACCATGCGGGGAACCTGTTCCCCCCTTCCATAGACGCTCAAGGGGGGTCGCATCCAGCTCTTTAAAGGCTACGTTTGTACGTTTCCTCCGTGTCTTTTCCCGGTTCTCCTCTCTTTCTTCCTACGTTTGTTATTATCGTTGTTATCGCGTAGTGCTATCATTAACCATGTAATCGTCGTCAGATGTAATTAAGATTGCGCTACTGTTACTCTCTCGCCTTACTAATGTTAATTGTCATCTAAAGAAGATTAACGTTTTGTGCTCGAAATGTTTCTCTCCTTATTATATATTTTTCTATTATTTTATTTAAAATATCTTATGTATCTTTCCTGTGTAACTCGATAATTAATCAAATAATTATTGTACGAAATTGAAATGAAACCCGCCCAAAGATTTTTTTTTTATCCCTGGAAACTCTGTGAAACTTCCTTTTTCGTATTCATTCTAGGTATTAATCCGAACAAAGGTCTGGAATATTTGAAATTCCCAAGATTTTAAGACGCCATTCTGTCTTGTAAGATGCTGCGAATCGATCTATTTCGCGGTTAAATATTTCCGTGATTAAGACGATCGCAATGAACATTGAAAGTAGCGGAAATGTAATGGTAATTAAAGTTAAGAACATCTTTCATCGAACTTTCAAAGGATGATGCGATCTCAGACCTCGATTTAAAGAAAGATTCGACGCACGTGATCTCCGTAATAACTTGGAAGTTTTGCGTCGAATGTCTTTGACAAAATTAAGATCGCATCAGGAAAAGCGATCGAACGTTATCATTTTTAATATAATTATTTCAAATATATTATTTTTAACATAATTAATTCACAAATATATTGAATCAAATTTCTCCAACGCCAACTAACGTACATCAACGAAATTTCCAAGTCTTTTCTTTCGCAATATTTCCTAGACCACGATTACATAACGATTTAATAATCACTAATCTAGCTGATTATAATTAACGCTAATTGTCAAGTGTATTGATAACGTCGAGTTTTAGCCTCGAACGGTTCCATCCAGCTTTAACGAGAGGCATCGAGGTGACGGAGATAACTGATTCGCGATTGGCGACGAGGGCGAATGACGGCGTCGTTATCATATTCCATTTACCTAATTGTCGGTTGTCCGTCGCGGTTAAAGCTAACTTCCCCGTTAACCGCGGCGAACATCAAACTGACGTCGGCGGCGACGGCAACATTTATTATCCGCGGCAATTATTATTATTTCTAATGAGCGGTGTGCCTGAAGCGGCCGATGAAGCATCACGCGAATCTCGGGGTTCCGGACCCTTCGTCTTTGTTCCCTTCCGTCTTTGTCACACGGTCGACGCGTTCTTTCTCCGTTGACTCTCTCGTTTCTCTCTCTCTCTCTCTCTTTCTTTTCCTCTCCTCGTCTCACGAGGCTGCCTTCTTACGGGGTAACGCGGTTGTGAAGGAACTCCTGTCCGCGTAAGCCGGGATTCCATCGTTCTTTCCTATAAAGGCGAGCTTACACGGCTCGCTTTTGACGGTCTCGTCGATGTCCCGGATATGAATCGCTCAAACTACGAGAAAAATAAATCATCAATGTTTTTATAAGTCTCATATACAAGATAAAATTGTTATCTGCTTTCTCGTTATATTGATTAATCGCCTAAACATTATATATATATATAATGAGTCCTCGTACTCTCCGTTTTCTTGAAAACCTTAGAAAGTTCTGCTTGCGTGCTCACGATATAATTAAGCTCCGATATAAATTATGTGATTTAATTAAAAATCTCAGATAATTATGAAAATATTGAAAATTTATAAAATTGATAGACGGATCTTTATGCTACTCATTATTTTTGAGAAGCGTAATTGCACCGGAACGTAATTTATTTGCGACGATACATCGCGAATATTTAAAAAGTCTCGAATATTTAAACTCTGATCAGTCTACAAGAATCGATTAACATACAAAGCGCCAATAATGTGCAATTATTAGTCATACTGTATGAAATGCTATCTCTCTCTTTTTATCAGAATATATCTAAATCGGTTTTCTCTGTCGCTTTCCTTTTACCAAAAATATAATAAATCCCCATATGTTTCTTTTATAATAAACAAAATATTTTTGAATTTTATACAACCCACAAATATTATATCTCGGAACATATTCTCCACGTTATAGGGGGGTCTTAATTTATGAAATATTGAGAGACTTGCGAATTTCACGTATCTAATGCATTTATCTTGGGCTACTCGTCCCCTTCGATTGTCTCGAAGCGAACCGTGTGAAATCGCCTTAAGGTCTACCCTTTCCTTTTCCTTTCCTTAACCTCGACGTAGCCGCGTCGGGGCCCAGTGCTGTACGATGTGCAACCAACGGACCCGCGAGCTACAGGATGAGGCGGGGGGGAGTGGAAAGAGGAGGGTGAAAAGGGCTCTCCGTGAAGAGCTCTTATATGGCTACCGAGTCGGGTGAAGAAAATTAATGAATGGCGGCGATCTCCTCACAGCGTTAATAAGTATGCACCTGAGAACGGAAATCGCGCGGTACAGGGGGCAAAGGGGGATGAGCCATTCCCAAGTTTTTGCAGGAGTCTACGATTCGCTTTTAAAAGACAATGATGTTGTTGGAGAGTCTCGATTTTCGGTTTCTCATGTCAGGTGAATCACGTAAACGTCTCGACGTCGTCCTTAATGAACGCTTTAACCCTTTGAGATCCACTGGACGAGCGCAAAGCATAAAGCCGAAAGCAATATCTTGATATATATACATATGAATATTTGAAAATATTCATATGTGTGATAATTATATTATGAGTAAGTTTTAATTAAATAATATAAAATTATGACACTTCTCTGATGAATGCTTTATCAAACCAAATAATAATAAATATAGCGATAAAAAATAACGATTCTACTCTAGAAGAAAATTGTTTTCCTTGCGTATAGCACACAAGAAATTTGGCGAAAAAATCCTGTTATACGAAATTCATTTTACGAAAATAAAATCCGGCCGTGGATTTGTCAAAAAAAGCTGCGAGACTCGCGTTTAATCGCGCTTAATCGCCCGTCATTCTGCCTAATTGACACTATGGGGGAATTAAAGATCTGGCCCTGACATCTATTACTCTGCTGCCTTCTGCTATGCACAGCGCGCGTCCGTACACGGGACTGCAGCTCTCCGAATGCATATAATATCCGATACGTGTATGGATATATGTATATGTATGTGTGTGTGTGTGTGCGCGCGAGTGTACTCGTATGCGTTTGTGTGTGTCGGTTGCGCGAGTATGTATGTACCCTCGAGCGAAGCCAGCCTCGACGTTCGTCTTCCCACGAACCCTTTACTATACGTACGAGTCTCGTTACTCGTTCCGGGATCAGAAAACACTCCCATTAAAGCCGTTTTACACGGTTACGCGAATAACTTGGCGAACGCTGGAGAGACCGCGATCGCGTGTGAACCACCTGTCCGGATCTAAAGGGCAATATAAGTGACGCAATTGCGGACTCGCGATGACAGAATCGCGGAATTTTTATTCCTAAGCGAGATACATTTAAACTTTTCCCAACTGCAATTAAATACGAAAGATTTCCTAATTAAAGTTGCATTAATAATTAATTTGTAACGATCCATGTATTACACTAGATATATCATCGCGAATTATTTTCCTAATTATTAATTATCAGCTACTTTTTCGAGATTCCTGTAAAAAAAGGAAAACTATTTTAAATCGATCATTTGAAATGGCGTAAGCGTGTGATTCAAAATGTTCGTAGTCCTTGTGCGATTATCCGCGCTCTGCGTACTTGGCAACTACTACGACTTT